TTTGACGGGGGGACGAGTGTGGTGAGAGCAGGCTGCTAGCCGATTGGTTGACATTAATCTACGTTAATGTCTAGGTCACTAATATGGGCCGTGAGAAAATATGAACAAGGCTGATTCAACAACCAATCACAGCAGACTTAACGAGGGCAAATAGGATTCGCAGATAGAAAGCCTCACTTTCCGAGAAACCCGAAACAACTAATCAGAACACTGCGTTTGTCTACTTGAAATAGCTACAATAATGTACATGAAATATATATAAATACGTGCTGATTTCCGTAATAAAAAGGATCTGTGTCCGGCCCTTGTCGTCTGTTGTTACATACATATTGAAATCGGTAAGTCGAGGATCGAAGCAGACCATCTCCCCAGCCACAAAGACTTTCTTACTCGATAAATTCAGTACATGAAAAGTGTACAAAAAAACCCAATTATTTCGACAGAGTGTAAGTTAAGAGAGGGCCTAGTTACTAAATTTAGCAATTTCGGCAGTTGGACGAGTCATATTCACCAAAGTTTACACTAGCTACCGACGATAATCAACTCGAAAATGTTAATCTGATAAAGCTGAGTAGAATCAATCTTTTGTTTTGAATAGTAACTACAACGATTATCATATCTGATGGGTTAATATGCAAGTCATCAATTAATGTCACAACACTATGAAATAATACACAAAGTAATGAAATAATACAATAATCGAGAAAAATGTGTGAAACAGACTGAACTAATGAAAAGTAGTGATTTTCAGAATTTCAACGATAAAGGCTGAATACATTTAGTGACACACATTGTGGACAATTTTTCTAACTAATTAGCAACCAGATAATGAGCACCTTCCTAAATAGGTTCAACTAACAGTTATTGATTTCATAGGCATCATACGTTAGTTTGGTCTAACTGCTCCCCCTCCGCCTACCAAAACTAAGCCATTTATTATTCATTTTAACACCAACTTCATGTAATACGGACACCAACAGAGCCACGCAAACACAATCAAACAGTGTGAAGAATGTAAATATGAGACTGTTACAGAACAAAAGAAAGTAAAAGAAAACAGACAAGCTCACTTATCCAGTGCATTCAAAGAAGCATTTTTTACAGAATAAGAAAACACATTTGCCAATGACACATCTGATGACTTCATGAGGCAACAAGTTGCATCATCTCTAGAACCCAACGCACAATGTCATGCAGACACATCATGGCGTAACCGCCGCTCTGAATTCTCTCTACAAACTATGGGAGGTATGCAAGCCAACAAAACGATATTCGTAATGTATTCACCAGTCAGCAAAGTTAGTATACCGAGTGCTAAGGCATTCTATATCACAGACCTCAAGATTCTTTCTTAAGAGTTACTTGATTTTACACGTAAAAGATACACGCAAACTAGTATATGCTGTTCATCCATATGGAACAACAGGCGTCAAAAAGTGACAGGGGACTCTCCAGAACTCAGCGGCAAACAGTTCTACTCACCATCTGAAGGGCATCTTAGTTTCCCCTGCTCTCTGGAGGGGTGATAACCCTGCATCTGATATTTGATGTAGTCTGGTAAGCAAACAATGAGCTTCCGTTAACCGTTAACTGAGGACTTTTAAAAACAATACTACAACGTAAGGAAAACTTGGCATACTGTTAAGCATTATCAGAATCCAGACAAATAATTCAGAAGGCGCAAGTTTTGTGTATAGCTAAACCATAAATACTAAACTAAACTACGACATATTTGAGTCCCACCTTGATTGGTAGAGGAAGGACGTCAAGTAGTTATGCAGCAAAGACTGTTCCGGACGATTATGCTGGCTAGAAAGAAGTAGACTGCGGTTTAAGCAAAGCTGCGAAAGATGGTTGACATTCTCTGACCTAATATCATCCAGGCTCTCTCTGCTTTGAGCCTAGCAATCCGACATTCGCACTCAAGTCTCCAGATAGCATTATGATATCTGTCGGGGCGCTTGTTTGTGGTCTCATATATGATGATAGAACCCATCCCTAGTGGCATAGACACTTCAGTGCGCTGGCAGATATGACGAGAAACCAAATCTCAGACTTGTCGCTCACTACCCTCACATAACATTCTAAGCTAATAGAATACAAACAACTATTAGCGGGGATCAGTTCAGCTTCTGTTCTAGTTATCAACAGAACACTGGTACCAATTAAGCCCAACGTCAATACCATAGGGTCCTGGAATAAGGTCAAATGAAATGCGCTTTTCAAGATAACAGATAGAGAACTTTTTGGAAGCTTTTTACTGAAATCATTGTGTACAGATTTTTCTCATGTTCTGAACAACACCGTATGCTGTTCGATTTGCAAATACTGTAAGTAACAAGAGTAAATAGCACACAAGATATCAGGATAGCTAAGTTAGGTAACGCAATATAGATCAGTTTCCTGGAAGGAACTATTTAAAGACATGGACGGGTACAGATAAATGAAATTTCTAGCAATGTCAAGCAACCAATATAAATACAATCATTAAAACACATGTGATGAAAACAGAAATAAAACGAGACATGAGAATAATAAGAAAAAAAAACTTGGTGATAATGAATTACGTGTTTGCATATATAGTTCACAAAGTAATTGGTGGGAATATCTACGGAAGAGTACAATGAGATTAAACTTTCCACAGAATTTTCGTTTCCTATTTTATATGACAGATGAGACACTGCAATGACACTTAGATTGAAGCAGGTGACTGTTTTTGGAAACCACTGGCCAATTCTATAACTCAAACTCTGTAACAAATAGCAAGGTTAGGAGGTGCATCCTCATGATTGCAGATGATAGGAACCTTTATCTGACGTATTGGTTATTTGTAAACTCTCTGTATAACACTGGTCCTCCGATTCTCCTGTGTAAACCCTTCAAATTTACTGGTCCAGTGACGAGAGCTAGATGTTTTTTTTGGAAACCCCTACAGTATGGACAAGACCTATTTATCAGAAGCAAAAATGTGTACTAGTGTGAGATAAGCTATCAAGTTCACCGGTCTTCAGCAGCACCAACAAATCGTGGTCAGTGAAGATCCCCTTTTACAGCTCAGTGTACGTCTGGACACAACATTACTCATCGTGTTCCACATATGTCAGCGCTTGTACTAAGATGCCTAAGTAATTATAAACTATTGTATTTCGACAATATATTCAACTTTCATAATCTTAAAGGTGAACGCAGAGAACTGATACTCAATACAAAAGCCATATTCAGGGTCAGTGCATATTATTGCCAGCGCCAAGGTGTTCCAGCTCTTGTTTGTCATCTCCGGATATCGAGCACCCCCACGCGAATGCTTCACAGTGGTACACAGAGTCCCTCAATATCGTACAAAAGGACTCCGGATACGACATCTGTACATAGCTGAGGCATTAGCTATTCGTGACATAAAACCGGACCTCTGCATTCAAAAGCGATTCATGCATTCTCTTGCCCTACCATGGCCAGAGTAAAGTTCTTAATACAATTTTGCTTCTTTCCTTTATTATGTAAGTCCACTATTATTATTATTGTTCTGAATACTTTTATTATTATTACTATTCCCATCATCCACATTTCATTACCACTCTATTACTGTTTATTAATAACATTGCTTTTTCACACAGATCTTATACAAAACTACTTTATAGCCTCTCCACTAGTTCCTGTCCATTCTACATAATCTTAATGATTAGTCATTATCTCACACTTATTACGTCATGCCAACTCCTGTCTCCTTTCTAACTTACAATTAGTTATCCCATCTTACACCTAACATTATGTAATACAACTTTTCAAGAACAAAGCTTACTAATTTTTGATTGGTCTAAAGATTTCTTCGTTGATTATAATTACGATTGTACAGCTCATGAAAATGAACCGTCGAAAAGAAAGTTTTTCTCGCTGTTTGTGCCTTTTTTTTTCTTATGACTTTCATCAACATCAATCAATCACCTTCGCTGCATACTGAGGATTACTTAAGTGGTAGACAGAAAGGGTAAACAGGCAACAAGAAAGTATGGCAATCGGCGAACCTATCGAAGAAAAAACCTATTGCCTAACACAGAAATGGTAACTCACACACACACACACCACCCTCGAATAGGAAGCAACGAGTTTGTGTATCCGAAGGTGATATGCCAAGAGAACTATACACGATGAACATAGTGTAGAGTAAGTAAAGTGCTGTTTATACATCTTAAAACAAAACATCTCAGTGAACAGTCGAACAGAAAATAAAACATAAAACATTGTAGTGTATATGTACTGTGTATATTATTGATCACTTCTGTTTAAAAAAAGATGATGACATTTTAAAATCACCAACATCATTACTGGAACAACAATGAAGTAGTATAACTCACGCTAACAAAATGAATAAATGAGTGTAGAGAAGCATTTATTTGAAAGACATATTTATATATGGTGTATATGCGCGTGTTGTGATAGCTCAGAGTAAAACATGTAAATAAATAAATAAATAATTAATTAAATAGGTAAATAAAGCGAGATCTGCAAGAAGAGAAACATACCAAGTCATACCAAAATACGCATACAAAAAGACACTGTCACTGACACTGTAATTCCAGTACACATACAGATGAGAGAGAGAGAGAGGACTGAGATACACAGGTGTACAATGGGACGGATAAAGGTATGACAGTTTCCACAGAAGAAAAATCGTAAAATTAAAATTTAAAAAAAAAACAAGTTACCAGTTGGTCATGTGTACACTGTACACAACATTTAAAACAAAAAGAAGTAAAGAAAAATACATTATGCGAGAATTGTTGACTTGTTAAGTGAAAATTCGGTGTCTATCGCCACTGGGATACAATGACTGGGGGATACAAACAGAGGAAAATGTGAAAAGGAGTTTAGGGATAAAAAATATGATGATTTGACAACGAAATCCAGAAAACAAAAACAAAACAAAGAAGGTGAACACACATTTGACGGAGTGAGAAAAACAAAAACACCAAGCATAAAGCAAAGCTATGAAGGTTTGGCGGCTAGATTAGTTGACAGTGAGTGAACAGGGACGATTGAGGATTCACAGATGATAAACTGAAACGTCTTGGAGAAGAAGAAGAAGAAGAGGATTGTTCTCTATGACTATTATTGGATGGTGTACTACTACTAAAATATGGTGCAATATTTTTATTCAATAAAGTATGACACACATCGCATACAACAGCTGCATGACCAAAAGGTCCAGCTGGCATAGTATTTTTCATACAGGCTGAACAATGCACTTTACCACAATGTCGACAGTTGATCTTTTTCGACCCACTACCAATTCCAGTAGGGAAGAGGAAATTACATCCAAAACAATTAGTGACATCATCTGGGTTAACCCAACGAACCTCTTGATCTTGTTGTCGTAATCTTTCTAACTGGACCTAAAAGAGAAAAGTATATAGTATAATTTTACAGTTAGGAATTACAAAATTATTACTACTTTAGTAGCACTGTCTGATGTGAATCGAAAGCGGATGAAGACAGATTCAGAGGAAAATGGTCAAAACTGAATCAGTAGACTACCTCCTCAGTTTCACCAAGCAGAAGTAAGAAACTGAGTAATATTCAAAAATCATTGGGTTGAGCACTTTCTTCTCTCATGGAACAACGTGTTATGAATACCAATGAATCGCTGAAGAGTTAAGTGGTGAAATGTCAGTTGACGGAATCTAAAGGTCACACAGCATAACAATTCACTTCTGATAGAAGCAACACAATTTGAGAACTCTAGTTCAGTACAATGCAGTAATATACACAATGTGTGTGAGAGAGCAGCTGGGAGTCAAGTCCGAGACCAGATGACTATAAGTCGCGTGTATAACAGCCAATGACGCATATATTTTCAGTCGAATATAAAAAAAACTGTACTGTAAAGAAGGTTGGGAATTATGTCTCTTGATTTGTAACTTTTGCAGTTTAACGATGAAATGCGCATCTGTCATTCCATTCTACTGGCCATTATCTTACAAATAACACCAGAATATTTGCGCCATTGTTGAACCACTTGTAAATACAGTTCATATAAAGTCTGAAAGTTTAATGTTATAACTCAAGCCCAGTGGACTTGAGTTTCATGGGATGTGTAGAGCCGATAACTCTCAAACACAATAATGGTGACAGGGAATAGCATATAAACAATATTAGCTGAGGACTAGACGCATCACACTAGTTACTAGTGTCAAATCAAAACAATATTAGCTCATAGTGTGCCTTTAACTTCCGTTAAAACAATGACGAATATTTTTACGTAACATGGTGTGAAATTTGATAACATAGAATTTAATATTGTAAAAATAAAGATAAAAGTATACAAGTGACCGCCTCCATGTGCATCTACCAGTTCACCTGCTCTTGTGGAGCAAGGTACATTGACCGTAGTCAGAGAATGCTCTCCACACAGATACGAGAACATATTCCAGCTTGGTTTTACAAGGGAGAAAGGAAATGTGTGCGAAGCTCTATCTTAGAACACCTGATCGACTCCTGTCACTCGGTCAACCCTGACCATGATTTCAAGGTCTATATAGAATTCATGCCAACTTCCCGCGTTTTCTTCGTTACAGACTTCTAAAGACAGCTGAGGCCTTGGCAATTCATGACTTTAAGCCAGACCTTTGTGCACAAAAGAAGTATGTACAATCCTTACTGCTCCCTTGGCCGTAGAGGGATAGACGTTTATTTATTTTATTTATTTAGTTATTCTATGTACTTTTCCCTTATTACTTCGATTATTTTTATTATTATTATTATCATTGTTATTATTACGACTCTCATTCTGAATCTTTTCCACTTGACTTACTTGACATTTTAAACCAAAAAATTATTCACTTGTATACTTTTATCTTTATTTTTACAATATTAAATTCTATGTTATCAAATTTCACACCATGTTACGTAACATTTTATATTCGTCTATTAATCTTACAATTATATTCCTCTCCCCAAAATCTATACACCTGATGTATTATCTTATATATGACATTAATTATTGTTCCACTTGACTTAAACTATGAATATAATCACAAATATTTTGAATATTTTTACTTTACGAAAACATACTACTTAAGTAGACTGATTTTTGAAACTAAAGTTTTACGGAACATATCTGTTGTCCAGGCATTCTATAGGTAGAACTGATTGATTATACAGCCTAATTAAAATCATTTCAAGCGGAACAAAGGTCTTCAAGCGTTGAAATTCAGTAACAGTAGTGCTGTTTTCCTTAATTGGAGGAGTTAACTAGTCTTATACCCATCTTTCCATCTATCCCGGCTTTACTGTCGGTGAGTGGCAAGCATACGGGGGGGATTGAGCCTTGAACTCTCGAGTAACTAAGTGACGAGCATCCTTCCATCTCTACTCGATTGTAGTTATACTACTTCTTACATTATTGAAACTAATCACTTATCCAGTGAGAGAAAGCATCAGTTGAAAGTTACAATGAAATAACACAGTCAAAGTAGTAAATATAAGCATGACAAAGCAACAACAACAACAACAACAGAACGATGGTGAAATAAAAGTAAAGCAAACACAAACACACTTGTAGACTTTGAGATAGACGAACAAAATCAGCTTGAACTGATTCAACATTATCTAGATCATTTTGTAGTCGACCAACTTGATCTTGTAAATCAATAATTCGTTTTTGAGCTTCAGTCAAATTGGATTCAGATAATTCATATTTAGCCTTTAAAAGAAGAAAATATTAACAAGAAATATACATTTAAAAAAAGAGGCACACTTTAGTGGGGGGGAGTAACACACATTGACTCAGTTACGTACAAGCAATACAGTTGATAGGGAAATTATGAATTCAGTCTGTATTCAATCTCTATCCACTGTTTGTCAAGATAAACCTACTCCTCAGTAACCTCGTTGGTGTTGTGTATAGCAGCTTCTACTTATCTCATAAGCAGTTATTGTTAATCAATCGCTTAGCACTACATAACGATGTTACTTTCAACCAGATTTCCAGCATCATATGACAAAATAATTTACAACATGCCAATGTTTTCACCATGAAATCGTTTACGTTCTATAAACTGTCGAAGGAAGACATTGTTTTGGTATTGGTGACTAACAAAGAACTACTCATCACAAGTATAACACATGCACGATACAACAACAACAACTATTTAACGAATCCTAACGACTGATGCATGCTGATGACAGATGAAAAATGTTTGTGTTAAGCGCTAACTGATTTCAATTGTAAATCACTTACAACACTTACTTAAGAAAAATGATATTTCTAACTGACTGAAAGTAGACATTGTGGCGTACTCTTATGATAAACTCTGACGATTTTAGCGATCCCATCAAGATAGTCGATATGTGGTTGAATTACTGACTGGAATCTGCATTAATGATGAAGATCCCGACTCACAGGGGCCACCTTAACGTGTTGGTCGGCCTTGAGTACCGCAATCACCTGAAGAGCTAAACTCGATGAAACTAATGTTGCTACAGGGTTAGAGGTGTGCATTCTGAAAATTATACAACCGGATATTGTGCTGACCTGTAGCCAGACGTAAGATTTTCATACGGACAAAACTTTCGAAACATCTTCACATAGGTCATGTGTGATCACCCTCACCCAGTTGTCCCTTGGGCTTTGTCTTCACGTAATACTAATACTCTAACTGTTTTGGGCAGTCCAAGAAGAAATCAAATTTCATTGTGTTGGTAACCAGGAAGTAAAAACTGCCCGCATACTTCAGTAAGCACAAAATATATTCCTCACTATCGCGCACTTTTATCTTCATCGTCTCGCTTCCCTCCTACGGTTAATACTACCTCAAAGACAGGTGCCGCATCCACTTTAAACTCTGCTACCACTAATAAGGAAACACACTGCTGATAATCACCTTAAACCAAGCTGCAAACTTCCCATTACAGCGCTCAACGTCAGGACCGTTTGCCAAATTGAACAACAGGCCTCACACCAGCCAGAACTCTGACACTTTGAGCAATAGATGTGTGTGTTGTGTATAGGATGTATGCAAACAAGACCCAAGTGTCGCTATTCAATTTATCTACCTGGCCAATCTGTAGAATTCAACTTACGAATGTCAGAAGAATCTTGAGCAAGGTGGACAGAAATCCCTTGTGTGTGAATAGCTCTGAGTGTTAGGGAGAAAAAATATCAACTTAACTGGATTCCAGAAGATAGTTGTATGTCTGCTGTCCAACTGAACGGACTCGTTAGAAGTAAGGACTGTGGTACAGATATCTTTAGATAAGCTCTACCTACTCTTGAACAGACTGCAGTTCAGAGGCAGTAGAGGATGAGTTCTACCAAAAGCTGTTCAGTTTGCTGCTAAAAACGGAGCGCTCAGGTACAGTCATTTGAAAAGGTGATTTCAGTGTTCGGTCGGTCACAAAGGTACATAGGTAGCACCCATGCAGTCTTACGACGAAAAAGCTATAATAGTAGTCATTTTTGACAGCTATAACCTCTAACATAAAGATACACATTGCCCAAACTAGCAACCACCATCATCAATTTAAAAATGGACAAACATAGACTAGGCAGTGTTAAGGTGCCAATGGAAGGGATCCGTAGAAGACTGCAACTCCTTCCGGAACAAGCCCTGGTTCATGTACGAATATTCCTGAGACGGGACTGATGTAGAAAACAGGCAACTACGATATAGACGTCAGGCTGCCAACAGCAATTAAGACTGCGAATTAGCCTGACTAAATGATCATGTGTAGACTAATGGTGCTCGGAAGAAACAAATCTGAGAAAACCAGCCAAGCTTTAGGCCATCAAGAGTACGCATTGATTGATAGTATCTTCACCTTTCGACAGATTCTCCAACATGACAATAATTACCGGCGTCCAACACTTGTCATTATTTCTTCACCTGAAGGTGGGACTCGACTCCATCGACCGGGTGGTGCTGTGGTAGTGTTTGGCCATAAAAGGAGTGCAGAGGAAGCATACTTCACTAGTTAAGACTTATACAGCCATATGACACTTCATGGAGAGTTGAGATCTGAAGTAAAAATAGCCAGTGGTGACCGTTAGTAATATCCGTTGTCTCTACTTTTTTTAGTTGCATCATGTGTATATTTATTGGATATGACGCTGATCGAATTCAGTGAGGTTGACTTCTACCAGAGGACAGTCTTTTTTACTTACACTATGCACATGATATTGTTGTCCTAAGTGAAGACGTCGACCAAATGTAAAGTCCGATGAATATCTTGGACAAAAATCCTCATGTGTTTAGCACTAGATTCACTTCTGTCAAATACTTCAAGACTGCTCTGAGCCAACTCCCAGGTGGAAGAGGGTGAGTACACTGGGAAGTTACATTAGCCTGAATGAAATGATTACTGACGAAATTTCAGCACGGGTGAAATAAGGCATATTTGAAATTTGTCAACTGGCGGAAACTCAAAAGTAAATGTGATAAACATTTACCAAATAAAAGTGGAGTGCACAGTTCGTTTCGTTCTCCTTCATCGCTGTGAGACATGGCCATCGAAAGTAAAAGACTTCAGTAGGCTGATTGTCTTTGACCTTAGGTGTTTGAGCTTCATCTCTCAAACTAAGTGGCATAATATGCAGAGTAACTGTGAAGTTGGGTTTGTGAAACTACACTGATTGATACGGTTAGGCCATGGTCTTGTGCATGTAATGACATCGCCTTCTTCGACGATCAATGTTAGCTGACATACGACTAGTTTGGAAAAGAGTTAGGGATGATGCAACCAAAATACAACGTGGATACATGAAGTCTTTGACAGCTGGTTAGAGCTACATAAAGAGGTGTACACTGCCTGCCTAGTTGGGATCCTTCAGACGGTTAAAACTGATGTTTCGAGGATGTCGATGGTATGACTTCAAAACTGTATTCAGTGACGCAGACGAGTTTACTCGTTTGCAACCTCCCATATCCATTGGGTTCTAACGTTTCCCCATAGAACTATATTTCCCATACACTATAGTTCTTTGAATATTCTGGGTTTTTTTTATTCTAATATAGTGTTTTGGAATATGCAGTGTGGTAAATTCAACTTTTCCACTTTCTGTGCAAAGTTCTACTCCGAAAAGGAGTGTATTTCTATTTCACTCAATCTCTTACTGCTGTTTCTCCAAAACATCAATAGTTCATTTGATGATTATCACATTATCATTATTTAGTTATAAAACCAAAATACAATAAATAGCGTATAATCATTTAAATGTCAGCTTACACACACACACACACACAAAAAAAACATAAAGTGCGATCACAAGGCGTCATAGCTCAAGATTTCGATGACACTTGAGATTATCAATAACTTCTCAGCAAAACTAATTAATTAATGACGAACACAAGATTGTCATTGAAATTATCATTTACATTATATATTATTGTTATTATGATTATTATTATTAAACATACTTGTAATTCATTTAGCCGGGATTTAGATGATTTTGCTTCTTCTTCAAATTTTTGTCGTAAAGCCATTTCATTATCACGTTCAGTTGAAATATTTGTCAGATTGGCAAGATGCTTACGAGCATCATCCAGTTCTTGTATAACTGAAGACTCAAAGTTAAGACGTTCTTGATGTTCAGCCGCCAACTGTTCTTTGTGCGCTTCAGTTTCACTTTTTAAACGTTCTTCCAAATGATCACGTGCTTCCCTTCATTTTAGAAGAAAATGAATATGGAAATAAGTAACTAACAATCCGTCAATCAGTGGTTCAGTGGTGAACAGTTCACCAGCCATGTAGAAAGTGCGCGTACGTTTTCTGGACGATGTACTTCTAAGTCCTGTCTCGTTTACTAGCCGGCAGTATGTCGGGGAAAGAGGGAAGATTATGCATGAGGCTAGTAACCACAGTATAGAAAAAAGCAAATATCAAAGCTTGAAGACTTTCATTTCATCAGTGGAAACACATGTAGCCTGTGTGATATTCCAGCGAACCCAGTGAAAATGCATATTTCAAGTCTCAAATATAGGTGATTAACTTGCAGTCGAAATTTAAATTCTGACACCGGTATTATCAGGCATTAATTATAGTTCCACATGGTTGAGATTTTTTAAACAATTTATATATTTCTTAATATTTAACTGTGAACTAAGCGTCTTCAAATGATAGCTTATTTTTTTTTCAGAAAGTGGTGATATTAGAGAAAAGTCACCCTAGAAAAACAACACAAATATTCCTCATAAAGTTCTAAAGACGACGTGTAGCAGATTTTAAGGTTCCAAATCACCGAATAATAACAAAGAGCTTTTTGTGCTTTCGGAAGCGTGTAGCCTGTTAATACCTTCCATCTACCCACACTGTGAAAGTTGATTTTTTATTGGAGTACATGCAATATAAGGGGCATTGGTGTTGTGTGAATGCAAGGCCCATGGGACACCCGTTTGAGATTGGTCACACACGCCCTATTTGAATTGGATTATGGCGTAGCGTCTATATTACGATCTTATTACTCTGGCTACGGAGTGCCTGCCACAAGGCAAATCGAGATGTACGATTTTCGCCATCCACATTTTCTACCCCTACCTTCTCTAGAGAGGACAGGCAGTATAGGTGGTTTGCTGGCCATCCGTATGGAATACTATACAGTCACCACATACTTATTCCGCAGAGGTACGACTTTGTCCACAGACCCCAACATAATGCAAACAACTCACGTTATGACGGTAACTGCTTTCAGTCTAACCACTATCCAAACAACCTTACTGACATGGTAGGGACAACACTATCGAAACTGAAACTTCAAATACTCGAAGTCGCATGTTCTATTCAGATCACAATGAATGAATGAAAAAAACACAATACTTATCAAATTTCTCTCCCAAAATTAATCAATAAGAAGTACAGGCAACTGATAAGAGCAGAACGCCCGCAAAACTTTCAAGGTTACTGTTACTGGTATTTGTATTGTACGAATCGACGTGACACTGACAATCAGCCTTTGATCATATCAACAAACAGTTTAATGAAGACATGCAATTAACACAATGCTGAGTGAAGAAAAGGAAAGATATAAATTAACGGTATTGGGTATGAAATTAAGGTGAAAGAATCTAAAATGCTCGAATGGTAAAATTAGCGGTTAGAGAGAGAGAAAAAGAGAAAGGGAGATTGGAGAGGAGACGAAAAACTCTCCAAGTATCTTTTTATTTCTTATTCCACGTGGCTTATTGGTCATTTAGAGAAAAAAAGGCTGTGAATTTAATGGCAGAAATAGACGCTGGAGTCATTAAGATATATACACACATGGTAGGATGTAGTCAAGTAAACTGTGATACATTGGGATAAAAATTCCTAGCTAAAAAAAACCGCTTATATTATTCAGACTAGAATGATGCTTTTTTGACTTCTCGCTCCATCCAGTAATATAAATAGCTAGTAATATATATGCAGATTATAATAATTTTATTATTCTCTGAGGTTCCGATTGGAGCTTTGGGGATGTCAAGAGCATATCCCTGTTGCATCATGTCCTCTTTAGCTAGCTCCCTCCTCCACTGTCCATAAACAGTCATCTACATCTCACACAATTTCGGCCATGTCACTCTTGGATGATAAATATTACCTCATAGTAGCTGAATTGACTTCTCTGGTCAACATCAACTCGAAAACAGTCCAACAAATACAGAAGATGACGAGAATCGGTTGTATGAAAACAGTGGGAAATTGTCTCATTGTAAACTTTAATAGTAGAGAAATAAAACAGCTTCATTTATCTTTATACGGGTAAAAATTATGATATTTTATATCGATTCCTAAGGTTAATGCTTCCTCTCAGAAATAAATGTCCTTTTGAACAAGTGAAAAATACAACACGTTTCAGTATTGTAGGTTTGCTGGGAACCAGGAGGGTATTTTAAGATAAGACGACGGTGATTCGATCATATATCCATCCTGTGACAGATTTCAGAAAGTTGGAAGACTTATAGGTGGCCTATTCTGTGAATGAAGGCGGAATTTGACATCGTTAACCAAGAGGTGCTGAGGTGATAAGTAACCGTCAAGAGAGTAGCAAGAATGTGCAATGCATTAATCAAGGCAATATACTCAAACTTAGGTACCAGTATAAGATTCCTCATCTGAAGTGACGAAAACCGACCCACCAAAGATATAAATGGAGAAGTTAGCATGATGCAGTCTTGTGAACGCCTTGCGCAGAAGTCATTCAATGTTCTGCATCCCATTTACTTGTCAAATGTATAACGGTGCTGTAAGACTAGTTGCATCAACTCCGAGGTTGAAAGTATGGAGTGAGTTAGCACAGCGTGTTGTCCACTCCACCTATTTGGGAAGTTGCATCGACCTTAGTAGAATGAATACTGATGAAATCTAATCATAAATAAAAAAATACCAGTATGACATTCGCCAATTCACATCATCTCTAGCATATGTGTGATATTCGGCTATCTATTAAACAGGTTGTGAATACTCCTCCACTGCAGTTCACTCCGTCCTATTTTACGGCTGTGAAATATGGTAGTTCAAAGTGAAAGACTCCATAAGGCTAGGTGTCTTTGACCATGAGTATTTGAGTTCAGTCTCTCGTGTTAAGTAGTATAATACGGTCAGTAATATCAAGGTTGGATGTAGTGTCAGTAATGGAGGGAAAATCAATAGATGAGAGATTGTGAAACTTCGCTAACAGTCAAGCAGGAAAAGCCATCGCTCCCGAAGGGAGTTACGAATGGTCAAATAAAGATACGACGTTAGTCCATGAAGTCTCTGACCGTTGGTTTGAATCACATAGGGATGTATAGGCTGCCTGGTTGGGGCCCTTCAATTACCAAGGATCAGTGGTAAGCAATTGTTCGTGATATAGCTCAGAATAGTTCTCAGCCAGTCAGTAACTGGCTGATATCACTGCTAAGTAAGGCGAATTGGTGCTGATTGTAATGAGAAACGATTTCAGTAGGGGAAAAGGATGAAAATAATTTGCTCAATGCTTGTTTTTATTTTTGAGTCACCACTGTTAACAACTCTGAGTTGGTGGTCCCGCGGTGGAATGCCTGCCAACCACGCATGAGATCCGGGTTTCCATCTCCGTTTGACGCACTTCTAAACTTCGCATCATCGGTAGCAAGCCAAGCAAACAGGGAAGAGTAGCAACTACAACCCGTAAAAAATGAGCACCACTGCTACTGAAAATTCAGACCTCCAACTTGAAGCCCTATGTTCTACTGGGAACGTAAAGGAATAAAATAAAAATAAACTTAACGACAACAGTGATTAATACTCATTCACCAATTTAAGCTAAAAGAAAAGAGAAGGGAATAAGTAAATCCTTACCGAAATGATAAATTCTCTTCGTACAACTTCAGTGCTAAGTGTTCTAATTCATCTTTTTCATTCGGTAACTGAATCGGTTGTCGACTTAATTCAGCAGCAGCTTGTGAACGTCTTCCAATAAGTGAATCATAATGGGAACGAATTGTCTCCAAATTGGATTCGGCTATTTTACGTTCCACTTTCAGTGTAGCCAATTCTCTTTCAGTTGCTTCTCTATAGGACTGTATATATACACAATATACATAAGTATAAATAAACAGCAATATTTACAAATTATAATATCTTTCCTAGAAAGTGTTACTTTTCAAATCACTAGAGAGGAAAAAATTACAATGAAACATTATCATTATCATCCAAATTAATAAACTTCACTCAATACACACACACACACACATGATACAGCAATGTTGTAAACAAGCTCATAGGCATAATGCTAATGAGCAATAGGACGAAGTAATACACAACACGAGAACTACAAATCTATCGCATTTTCTACATTATAAACTGCTTCATATAATTTTTAGGGTTTGTTCAATAATGGAATACCTGCCAGCCATAAACGTAATCCAACTATGATTCCCCCTTGATGCACCCCTAAATCTCTCATTCAATTTACCAACCGATAGTAAGGTAAGAAAAAAAAGAAGGGAAAGTTAGTCGTTAGACTAAGAATCTCCGACTCGGTAAAGTACATCACGATCATTATTGAAACTTCAAAGCTTCAAGCCCTTCCCTATGTCCAACTGGGAAGGCAAGAAAGGGGAAAAACATGCATTGCAGTGCTATATAAGATTGAAACTTCGGTAACACATAGTAGACTATAGTTAGCTGACTATATGTAGCACAGAATAGTAATCACTAAGTATTACAACAAAATAAACAGGATAACATGAAGTTCTACAGTACTGTATAGAGTTATAACTTAGCTGGTTTGATATCTAATTCAACTGTCATCACCCACCGCTCAGATGTGATCCGCATAGAATGAGATTATCCACTGTCTGAGAAGTATCACACGAAAGTTTAAAATAAACATTGTTAATAACTATTATTATTATTATTATTCGTTTCTTGCCTTCCGTGAGGAGCATAGGGTTTCAGCAGTACGTCTCTCTATTATATAATCAGTCTCCAGTCATGATTTCCAACTGACTCCACGACTGATCAACAGTCAGTCTTTTTCTCTCCCCCTCCGCATAAAATATTTACCATAAAACATCGTCAGAAACCCAAGTTGTCGATTCGCATTCAGTTTCCAATCGACTGGCTGGTGTCATTTGAAGACTTCCTCAGCATATATCTAATCCATTTCCATTTGCTTAGGCTGGTCCGCTGCATTGTAGATTTCTTTTTTTTTGCTTATTCTTTGGCGGTAGTCATCATCTGGTCTTCAGTATGAAGAAAAGACGAGTGTTAATCAAAGTCTACAAACACTCTGAAATGCTTTTGGTGACACGCGATAAAATAAACACCGTCTAACTATAATAACACTTCAAGTAGGTTTTGCTAGAAGAACAGCATTGAATATTGTGATGTGAAAAATGTTTTAGCACAAGAAACTACAGAAATTACATAAAAATTATAAAATTAACTTGTGTGAAAAAAAGTTTCAGACAAAAAACGAACAAATTCTTATTCTAAACGAATACACAATATGTATGAATGGTAATTAGATAACTGTATGAATACATTCAAATTAATAGTTGAAACTGCAAAATCATATACTTCTTCTTCCTGTATTTCATGTATGTTTTCCTACAGTTCATTAACCTACTTCACTAGAAAGTCATGTGATTAAATTGAAAATATTAAGAAATATGGTTTATTGGCTTAAGTAAGTCCTTCCACTAACTATCAATTAGTGAATTCCAAATTTAGTCTTCCAGTGACACTTTACACACACACACACACCTGTAACAACAGAAGACAAGGGCCGGACACAGATCCTTTTTATTACGGAAATCAGCACGTACTTATATATATTTCCTGTACATTATTATAGCTTATTCAAGTAGACAAACATAGTCTTCTGATTGGTTGTTTCGCGTTTTCTCGGAAAGTGGAGCCATCTATCTGCGAATCCTATTTGCCCTCGTTAAGTCTGCTGTGGTTGGTTGTTGAATCAGCCTTGTTCATATTTTCTCACGGCCAATATTAGTGACCTAGACATTGACGTAGATTAATGTCTACCAATTGGCTAGCAGCCTGCTCTCACCACACACCATATGCGTAGCAGCTGAATGAATTGTCATAGGTATACATAAAAGTATACAAAGGAGTAAGCCTACCTTGTAATTTGACATCAAACCATCCAATCGTTGAGCCATTTGTGAGGCAAGTGTGGACATTTTCTCTGTATTTGATGCTTGTTCAGCGACCTGAGTTTTAAGAACATTCTCCAATTCTAAACGACGATCTGTAGCAACTTTTAAAGCTTGTGTTTTAACATTCAATTCATTTGTCACCGAGGCCAATTGTTTTTCTAAGTTCTCCTAAACACACAATATTCAATTGACAAAATATATTCATTATTAATGATCTATACAAGTAGAAAATATAATAATGAAGTTTACAACAGTTCAGATTATAAAAATAAAGACATACATATACACCATTTACTTTTGTTTTTTAACCAACAAATTCAGTGAACAGAAAAAAAACGGACAAAGTAAGGTGTCAGTGTTGGTGAATATTGAATAGTCTGTTTATTCGAACTGGTGTCCATTGGCCGGTGACAAGAAGACTGTCATTGCTAAATGGTGTACTGGTTGACAGGGGATTGGAGAAATATGACCAGAAGAATTCTCGTATATTATATTAACGTCTATTCACGGACTTCAGCACTGATAAGCCACTGTAAATCTTTTTCGTTATCGCTTGAAGAAAAAATAATCGTGTTGCACAAACGTTTTCTGTTGTTCCGCGTCGGTTACAGTCCACAGTCTTCTACGTATCAAACTTAATCTTCTGAAACCAGCGATAGGTCCAGGATCTCAGAGATTTGCATACTTGATATAAGGTACGCGACCAAATACAAATAAACAATGTCGGCATGTACAGCAAAGTCGAAGAAGTGAAAAGAAGTAGGCGAAGTTAAAGAATCAGAAATATATCGATAAATTCATTAGCTTTGTATCACTTTTAAAAACCAGAATACATTAATAAAGAATAGTAGGACTAAGCCTTCGATTTTAGACCATAGCTTATGTATTTACCATCTATTTTGTATGTGTTCTGTAATGATGTACAGATACAACACATGCTACTAATATATTACAACTATCCTTCAATTTATGATGACGTGTTAGATATTGACCTAGAATGGTAGTCACATTACAACCTGACTGATAGAATTCAGTCTGCACCAATAAGAGGACTAGACACATCACAGTAGTTACTAGTGTCAAATCAAAATTGGCTGACATTGTTTTACGACTATTTTGAAAAACTTCTTCAAGCAGTGAATATTAAGGAAGAGAAGGTATTGAAATAAAAATGCGAAGCGAATATCTAAATTACTGTACCCAACAATATTTGGATGAGATTTTAGTCACTGGATTCGAATTAACAATACGACTTGGAGAGATATCTCTGGAACTCGGAATCACTTACACAGTGGCGTAAACGGATGACAATAACAATACAGAAATAGCATTACTAGCAATCAAACGCTAACTGCTACCTTGACGTTGAGCTTGGGCGTACATAACGCAATCACCCAACAAGCTACACCCACTGGAAATAATTTTTCTCCAGGTCGTATCATGCCAGAAAGGCAGTTACCATCATAGTGTAAACTATTTACACTATGCTGGGTGTCAGAGTTCGAAGTCATACTGTTAATGAATAGGGATGTCCTAACAGTAAGGTCTTCTCTTTAAACGACCAGCAAGCAAGATCTGAAGAGGGAGGTAAGAAAAATTGGACATCATGACTTAACCTGGAGCAGTTCATAACCGGCGGTAAGACCTTTATGTAGATCGATCAGGTCTTGAGTGATCACCTTAAAACAGGTACACAGATAATAGTGACTTTCACACAAAACGACGGCGGCCTGCTTGAACATAGGGCTACCAAAAATTCCACCTTACAACATTTTGCAAAATTGCTTTGGTTTGCTCTTTTAATTTTGTTTTAATTTATCAATAATGTGTCCTAATCGTATTATATATAATCGCGCATTTTTAAAATCATTACAACCTACCGCGTTGTGTCATCCACAAAAATTGAGAAAAAAGCATCACTGTGGCTGGCAGCGTGCACTGAAACGTACACAAATTAATCAAATGACTGTTCCTGAACTCGTTAGCACTAATTGTAGATCCCTGTCCAACAAAATGGATTACCTTCAATCCCTAATGTATTCCAATGTTTATCGAAATGCTGGCGTTTTAGCAATACAAGAGACTTGGCTGCACCAGCATTATGATGATAATCTAATTTCAATAAATGGATATAAAGTTTTTCGCCAAGATAGAAATAGTTCCAAGAAAAAATATGGAGGAGGGGTAGCCACATATATAAACACAAATTGGTCTACATCAAATCACGTTTGCTTCAATTATTCTAATGACAATATAGATTGCATAACCGTCAGGTGTCGCCCAAAACACTTAAGTAAATATTCTTATATATACATAACAAATATTTACATAACACCCGATTGTAGCCTTTCTAATATAGTTATGTTTGCAGATGAGTTTACTGAATTCGCTGCTCCTGCATTCGGAAACTCGTTGTCTATAGTCTGTGGTGATTTTAATTTATGTGATCACAGCTTTCTTACTTCGCTTGGTCATGAGAATCTAGTCAAGTTTAATACACGTCTGGACAAATCACTAGACCTGGTTTTCATAAATGACCGTGATGTATATGAAACCCGAAGGAGAGCTCCTTTGCTAAATTCTGACCACTGCATTATTCGTATTTTACCGAAAGTGTACGGCAAGTCACAACGAAAATTGTTTAGTCATTTAACAAAGAAGATACATGAACGTTCATATTCCCATGACAACATTCTAGCATTAAGAAGCATGTTGCATGATACCAACTGGGAACTGTTTACTGACGATAAGTTGGATGCTACTGTCTCTAATATAACCGATTATCTGAAGTTTTGTTTGGATATTTGCTGTCCTTATGAAACACTGTTTTCGAGATTTGACAGAATCTCTTCTGTGCAACTGAAAAAACTTAGAAGACAAAAAGAGAAGTTGTATAAGAATTGTGATAATACTGGTGTCCGTAAAATAAACACCCTTATAAAAATTGAAATAGAAAGGTTGAACAGACTATATAATGAAAAATTTTTATCATGTAAAAATCCTTCAAACATTTGGAAACTTTTCAATAAACTAACAAGTAAAAAACAAATGTCCGTTGATGCTTATTCTGATGTTAATGCTTTAAACAAATCATTTATCAAGAAACAAATTAATATGGTTGTACCTGATGTACCTAGTCAAGAAAATGGTCATTTTCAGGGTTTTGAAGAAAAGGATGTACTATTATGTTTGAAGTCATTAAATCCAACACACAGCCTTGGTCCAGATGGTGTACCAAGCATTCTTCTCCAAAAGTGTGCAGACATCTTGTGTCATCCTCTTACTCAAATCTTTAACGCATCATTTAAGAGGGAAACGGTACCTGCTGACTGGAAAGAAATCAAGGTTGTACCTGTACAGAAATCATCTTCTGGAGCAGGTATAAAATTTAGACCAGTCGCTATAACATCTCCTTTTTTGAAAACTATGGAGAAACTTCTTTTGTATATTCTTAAACCTTCTTTAAAAGCTTTTAATGACCCTAAGCAGTTTGCTTATAAGTGTGGAAGAAGTACATTAGATGCAGCCATTGTACTACACCACAATATTGTTTCCTGCCTTGATAAGGGCGCTAAGTTCGTTCGAACAGCTTTCTTAGACTATACTGCAGCTTTCGACTCTGTTCCTAGGACACTTTTATTAGGAAAGATGATTTCAGCACAAACAGAGTCCTGGGCAACTAGATGGCTGTCTTCTTATTTTAAGGATAGGAAACAGCATACTGTTTTGGCTGGAAAGCGCTCCACTTCCCAGCTAACTGAAAGTGGTGTGCCTCAAGGTGCAGTACTTTCTCCATTTCTTTTCTCTTTCTTTCTGCATGACCTTCCGAACTCACCCAAAGTTAACTTCATTAAGTATGCTGATGACCTGACCGTTTCTGTCCCTGTAGTTTCCACATCGGATTGTTCCTATATGAATGGCTTCCTAGCTGAAGTTAAGGATTGGTCTGGCTCAAATGGCCTTAAACTAAATCCAACTAAATGTAACACTGTTGATTTTAGCTTGAGAAGTGAAAAAGTCATGCATGGATTGATTCAATCTCATGATTGTTGTAATATTGATGGTACCATGATTGAGAGTAAGTCAAGTGTTTCTTATCTTGGCATTAGTTTCTCGTCAAATCTTTGCTGGTCGTCTCATATTCTTATAGTTTCTAAGAAAGTTTTCCGTCTGACTTATTACATAAAGAAGTTGAGACACTCAGGTATAACTCAATCTCTTATCATACAATTTATTAATTCATGTGTTTTGCCCATCATTCTTTATTGTTCTCCATTATTCTTCCCTGGGCTACTCAAGAAAGATCATATAATACTACGAAGAACATTGAGGGCTGTAAGTAGGGTCAGTGCTATCCCTTTGACTGAACTAAATGACACTGTTGTCAATAGGCATATGAATTCTTGTAAACACTTAGCTAAAGTTATCTTATCTGATAGTGAACATCCTCTTTATTCACAATTGTTTCCTTGTATCTCTTCGGGTAAGACCAGAAGAAATTTTATAAACATTTATGCTCGTACTACAAAATATAAAAATTCGACCGTTCCATATTTGGCACGAGTATTGTGTGAAGAGACAAATATCAGAAAAGAACTTTTACAACTTTTGAATCAGTAACTAAACTATAAAATGTAATGATGCATATTAATGCAAGTGTTATTTGTTATATTATTTATTTATTATTCACTATGACCTAGAAATGGTATGATTTTGTTGGGTTTTTTATTTTTATTTATTTTTTTATTATTTTTTCCTATTAACTATCAATATTTTAACATTTTATATATTTATATAATTATAAACAGAGCTAAACCATTGCAATATGTAAAAGAAACGCTGAAAATTCCATGCTGTAAATTGTTATTGTTGTGGAATAAAGTGATTATTATTATTATTATCCCATGGACTCTTGATTCATGCAACACTAATGCTCTTTCTGTTGTGAGTTCTCCACAGTGTGAACAGCTGGGAAGTTATAAGCATCCACACACTTCTATAAACACACAATACTTTCCTGACCACCACCCATCTTCATCACCACTTCATCTTCATCCTAATGCTAATACTATCCCACAGGTAGGTGTCCCCTGTTCTATCTTAACCTTGTGATCATTAATAAGGATCAGAGTAAGAAAAACAATAGTAACAGTCTTTTATGGACAACT